GCAGCATTGGTGTTTCGTTTCGTCAGGGCAAGGAGGTATAGGTTGTTATGTCGGATGTAAAGGTACTGGGGTTCGCATTTTGTTAGTCAAGATGCCAGATGCGACTCCAAGGCGTATACAGCCGCAAGTTGGCACGTACGTTGATACCCTCGTGCGAGAAGCACGGAGGAACAGCTGATGATTCTTCTTCTGCTTCGCTGAGAAGGACAGGGAATTTCTCGACAGCTGACATGGGAATGTCACCGCGGTAGTTTCGGGCAAGAAGGGTCTATCGCAAGCCATCATCAGCATTTTCGAGCGTCTCAAATTTCGGATAAGCTCCGCAATGCGCACCTTGCCCTTCAAGTCGAGGAAGAATACGGCGGAAGCCATGATGAAGTGGTTGCCAAGGCGGGGATCGAGGGGCAGGCGCAGAGGCGGTGGGAGTCAATTGGCACGCTGGCCAGAGGAGTTATGGCAGTGAGGAGGATCGTTTCATGCAGTTGATACAGCCGGGCAGCTCGTGGTGATTTCAAATATTCAAAAGTTGGAGGTGGACGCTGTCATTATTCGCGGATCGTGCAGTTGATGAACCGCGTTGACAGATAGCTGGCGATATTGAAACCACGATGTCTCCTTGGAGTCGGAAGGGCACGGACCAGCACAATGACAGCCTTACGTCTTTGGAAAGCAAGCTGTCATGCAGCCACATATGACTATGGCCGAGGAGGTGGCTGGTGCCGCTCAAAAACTCAGGGAGCCCTCTGTCTTACGTAATATTCTTGTAGACAGGTACCGAGCTTTACGTAAGATCGCCTTGCAGAGGTAAGTCACATGATCTGCAACTCCAGAGTGGGTCTGCGGTTTGCTTACATCGGGCCAGAATTTTTCACGATGTTTCTTCCTTTCCTTCTTTTTCTCACTACCGCGTCCTTTTAGACAGTGCAGCGCATTATTACAACCACATTTGGACCGGCATTCTGCTGGGCTCATTCGTGTCGTCGTTGATGTGAATTGCGATTTCGTGACGCGCAGAGGAAACCTTCCGGTTCCATAAGAGCTGCCCATGCATTTCTCTTTGCTTTCGAGTGAAGAGTACAGTTGCCAGGGCGGCGTCAGAGGTGCCATACATACTATCAAAATAATGTCTCTTTTCTGTTGTGATTTACGAGACGAGACGATCGCTAGATTTACCAATTGCTGAACTGCAATTACTTCGGGTAAATCTTAGCAGAGATCCTGATCAAGACAAGATCTGGGGAGGCACGTTTCACGATCAAGCTTTCATGCATGGAACGCATCTTGTGTTCCTGACAGAAGCAATCGCCGAGGCTCCTGCCTCGAAGCTCAACAAGTCTTGACAGGTGCTCGTACGCTTGTTCAAAGCTAAGGGTCCTTTTTAAGCTGGGAAGCCTCATGCAATGTCCTCCTGACAGCCTCTACGACAAGGAAAAGGTTGCGATGCAGGTCCGGCTGGCCGGTTGTCAGATCTAGATAGACCCCAGTCAAGAAAGACAAACGCCTCCCGAACCAAATTGGTTAATGTGTCTCTCGGCTTTCGGGGGGTTACAAGAAGTTTACTACGTCCTGCCGGGGAAGTGCCAAAAGGTACGAGAAAGGCTTGATTACCTAGTCTTCGACGATGTCAGCTGGCTGTTGCGTGCTCTGAGCTCATGCAGCGTGCTCCGAGGGCCGTGGAAACGCCGCTGATCCACCTGCTCGGGTCTGAGATGCCATCACATGGCCACCATTTGTGGCAGATAACTAGTCAGGATGGGCGGGTAGTAGATAGAACTGAGTCGTGCGATGCAAGGCGAGCAGGCAAGTAAGCCGGCGGGCAGCAGCTGGGAACTTGGAAGAAGAGCTTGGAAGCTGGAATCAGGTTCAAGCAAGATGTGCGTTTTCCATTTCGGAAATCAGCGCAGCACGGCACCCCGATGTCGATGGTGATTGTTGATAAGGCCTGGTGGGTTAAGGTGAGAGATTGCGTTGATGCTTCAAGTGCATGATTGGGCGTCGGTTTCGCAAGATTCGTGTAAATTGGATCTTGCAATTCAATCTGCCAGTACAGGTTACCGGCTGTTACTGTTGCAAAGCAAATCGGAAAGACTACAGCAGCCACACACCTGACGTGTGGTGGTGTACCTTGATTTGCATGTGGTGTGGGTGTACTGCGTACAGACGGCAACGGCGGAATCTCGGATGATGGAGAGGTAGGGAAAAAAAAAAATGAAGAAGGGCATGGTAGATCCATGAAAAAGGCGTCACAGAGAAGAACATCAGCGGGAACAACTGGACCCTTGGGCGGACCTAGAGAAAATTGCCATGGTCATCCGGCAACCTATTCTGCAAAGTCCCATCAATTCCCCTCCAAGAATCAAGAGTCAGCAGAGTAGCAGCAAATCGCACGTGAATATGGGCCTTGAACGGCAGATGTGGGATGATTGCCTGAGCTACGGATAAGGTAATGCGAAATTTGTGAGGTCCGGGTTGAAGAATCTTTCTGGGGCAGGCAATACTGACAGACACACAGTGAAAGGCAAGAATCAAACTGAACTTGTGAAGCTCAAGGTAGGGCGGAAGTTGCAAGTTGCGAATGCCTTTTTGGAGAGACAGGTGACCAGAAACGCGTCTCAAGTGCGGGCTGGGAATCCCTAACTTGCGGAAGGCTCCTGAGCCGTGGGTTCCTCCCCTCTGTGTGTACAAACTCCGTATGCCTCTTTCCAGTTTTTTTCTCTCTCGCTTTCACATGGGAAGGGCGAGTCCGTGCCCCAGGGTGACGTAGCAGTAAGAAAGCGACAGTCCAATCAAACAGCGAGGAAGCCTCGTTTGTGCCTGGGGCCGAATGCCGGCTGGGCGACCCGGCCACCGCCCGTTGTCAGTTGATGCCTTGTGACATACACATCCGGCAGTCCAACCTGATAGCTTCTTGGTGAGAAACAGGGCAAAAGGCTTAACACCGCCCACTTCTGCACATGCTAAGTTACTTGTTCATCCCGTCCAACCCGGGCAGATGCATGTGATGACGGCCCCAACAACTCTGACACGTGCTTCCCCAACTTTGGCCCTGATCTCCTGTTCCCCCCTCGAGTCCTTCCCAGGCTTGCCCCCTGCTGTGTGTCCCAGATCACAGGCTAAAGGTACCTTGGGGTCTCTTACTGGCGAAGGCACCATTGCACCACAGTACGAATACCACAAGTCACAATTAGGAAGAGGCCATCAGCTGTTGGCTGGAAGAATAGCTTGCAGGATTCGTTGTTGGACGATCAGCGAAACGGTCATCCTCACTTTTCTTACAAGCGGTCTGGGCGCAAACTGACAACTAATAGTCTCAGGTCTCAGTCTAGCGGTCTTCACATTCCAGTCATTGCAGTCAAGACCTGATGGTGGCTCAAGAAAAAAAAAGAAACAAAGACAATATCCCATGCGACTACGAGGTCAGTTGGTCTTGGTCGGCAAACCCAAAATGCGGTCTGCACTCTGCAGATGTCAGGCCAGCCAGCGGCACATCGTCAGACAAGAACAAACCCGACAGCACACCCTTACAATCTGAGGTAGACACCAATTGGTGTATGGCTACATCCACACTGTATCCCTACCCCAACAGTAGCTGTGGCAATGGCACTCTCTGAATCCCGTTTCTGTCACGGCATTCCTGCAGACTCAGAGTCTGGCCTTGAATCTGCTAAGGTTCGCGTCTGTTTCTGTAACCGACTCCCACCCATCGTCGTCGGCTATTTTTCTTGCTGCTGGCCCGGGCAAAGCATATGGTCCATAGATACTGGATAGTGATACGGATACCCAACACCGATACCACCTCACTTCTTCTACATGGGTTCGGGGTACGAAGCCATACGATAAGCAACCTTGCGCGAAACTGCGAGTATCTAGGATACACTATTGAGTCGCGGCTTGCCTGCTGAGTTCCCTACTGCCTTCCATTGGTCTCCAGAGCACTGACAGATGTCAGCAGCAAGGTAGCGTTGGCCCGTATCTCTGTCTCGAGTTTAGCGGCTACCAGTGCGAAACAGTGCCTCGGACCCTGCAGACTCCCAGCGAGATGGACCGCAGACGGTACCGCCTGACCTGTCCCGAACGGGAACGTGGACTCGCGCGTGGGCGATGATTGGGTCTTGCGTCTGCCGTCGACCCCCTGCTCGTCGAGCGGCGTACATAGTTCGCGCTGTCCGGAGTACAGCACTGTATTTACCGTCACTGAGGAGTCGAAAGGCTCAAGACACAGGACGAGATACCTCTTGGCCATGCTCGTTGGGCCTTGGGATGTGGGCTGGCTCGACGCTGGTTCTCACATATGATCTGCTTATAGACGGATAGTGTGAGTGCGATGTACCCGCCCAAGTCAAGTCCGCCACAATCACGGTGCCGAGAAGTCTCTTTCGGTCAGGCCCCCCACGGAACAACTCAAGCGAGAAACACAATACCATAGTTAGTTTGCTGGCTGGGCAGCGAGATGGACGGGCAGAAAACAGTACCAACGACAGCGCATAACCTGACCTTTTACCTGGACCTTCACATGGGGAACTCGGAAGTCGGAGCAACCAGCACTGTTCCGTACTGCGAGAGACAAAAGCCGAGTGACAGACCTTGAGGAAATTAGCCGCCTATTTCCCCCCCGTATGCGTACGGCTGACGGACACTTTCCCGTGTCCGTCTCATGTCTTTTTTTTTCCCCCACGGGAAAGCTTCTAGTTTAGCACTGGAGAAAGTTAGTTGGCGCAAGATCTAGAGGAAGCAAAGTGATTAGCTTTCAATACAAGAGCGACTTTCCACAGCAAGCTCCGATTGAATATAACGTTGATTCATTGTTTTCATTGCTTAGATACCCAGACCATGCTGAGGACCGAAGTGCCCAAGGACTCAGTACCTTACCCAAGACCGACTCCGTTGTGGTCCCCCCCGGCCCCCATTTGTACCTTATCCATTCACCATCTGGAACCATGAGACTGGCCAAGGTACAAACTCGGGTACTGCAAGCCAAGTATATGTGGTTCCTAAATGGGTGCAATTTGTAGTGTAAAGCAAAGACAGAAGTGACTTGTGAATGGAAAGTACCTCCAAGTATCCCAGCCCACCACATGCGCCAGTGACCCCTTCTCCTTCCCGCCGCAATGGGTGTGGCCCGCGTGCCTGCCAGCTGCGGTGTTGTCGCCGCCTGCCTCCTGCCTCTCTCTTTCGCTTTTGGGGAGGCACGAGGTACGTGACTACCTCGTTCCTCGCATTGTGAGCGTCGCCCCTTCCTGTCCCGAGTCTTTCGACCTCCCCCGTCCCCCATCGTCGCCCGTCCCGTCCGTCCATCCTCACCCTGGGTGCGCTCTGGTGCGGCATCATCCTCCCACCACCGCCACCACTACCACCACCACCACAACCTCATCCACCTCTTGTCTCCCACCCCCCGTCAATCAAATCAAGTAATTCATCAATCCGTCAATCCATCAATCACCCGTCACCCAAATCGACAGAACACCACCACCCCCCGGCATACCTCCCTCCACCTTTCGGTATCTCTTCCCCTCGACATCTACTACGGTTCCTGGTCTCCCGCTTGCCGCACACACTTCCAGTCAACTCTTACACTCACATACCTACCCTACACACGCATTTTCCAAACACACGCAATCCTTTCCTCTCAGTCGAGGTAATATACTACTTACCGCATAGTAATAATAGAGGTGCCCTCCAAAGGGTACGCGCACACCAACCCTCCCCTCCCAGCGCTACGCTCCGCGCTACTTTACAAGATACACGGACCGGACTCATCCCACCACCACACGCTACGCCTACGATTACCACCACCATCCCTCCCTACCTCGCTTCTCCAGATCCGCCCTCCACTCGGTCGTCCCCCGAAACCACATCTCCTGCCGCCTCGCTCCCTTGTTCGTTCGTTGGCTTCGAAATCCGCTCCATCGTCCTGCCTGTCCTTCGCCACCTTTGGCCCAAACCGTACTACATGAACCTCTCTCGCGCCGCCCGAAGCCACTTTCACCCCTTCGTCTGCTCTCCCTCACGTTCGTTCTGACCCGCGCGTCTGCACACTGCTGCACCGAGGCAGACTATAACATTCCCTAACGTCGACTGGGAAATCTGCAAAAAAAATACAGAACCACAACGGCCTCGGGACACGAGAGTCATATCTCCACTCATGCCAGTCCATAGTTGACCGCTGAGACAGCCGCGCCGGTCTCGCTCCTCCCTCTCTTGCTGCTTCTCTGCCGACCCCCTCCCCGCGAAGTCTCGAGCCGCCGTCCGAATATACTTTGCGAAATGGATTTGAGCCAGAGCATGAGCCAGAGCCAAAATCACATGCTGCACGGGCCTGCGCCTGGAGACCGCCAGCTGCCGCCATCCTCTTCATCCCTCGCCCACACGCACCACTTCCGCCCACCTGCTTCTGCTTCTGCTTCTGCTTCTGCGTCTACCTCTACGTCGGCTTCTGCTTCTATCTCCACCACCTCTCAACCCAACAAGCACGTCCTCTCTCACGCTCGCTTTGATCCGACACAACTCCCGTCCCAGCTGCCTTCATATGCTCCCCCGAGCTATGCGCATGCCCAGTCCCACGATTCCAACCTGCTGAGGTTTCCCGACGCCCCGACTACCGAGCTTGCACCCATCCTTCCTGCCGCCAAACACAATGATAACGTCGGTCACAACCTGCCATCTCTCTCGTCCGTGACAGGTCCCCCGCCCCCGCGGTTCACTTCCATCGTCGCCCAATCTCAACCTGTTGTAGCGCCGCAGCAGCATCAACATCAGCATCACCAGCAGCAATCACAACCCCAACCAACTACATCCTCCCTGAAGCGGTCCTCGACGACAACAGTACCCCTCACCCACTGGCCGAGCCTCAACCCCCTCACGACGTATTATACACCTAGTCATGCCCAGTCTGCCGACTCGCCTGCGCGAATGGATCTCGACGTAGTTAGCAATAGCGCCATGAGCGCAGCATCCCCAGACCGGTTTTACGAAGGACGTGCTGCCAGTGTCAGTTTGGACGACCCCGACGTGCGCATGGCAGCTGAAGCACTTGGGGATCTGCGAGCCGGTTCGTCGTTTGCGAAGCTCTTGTGCCGAATGACAAAAGCTAACATGTCTAGACTTCATCAACTCTCCTCCCGCCCGTCACACACCTCTACCGAGAGCCTCGCCGGCCGTGTCAGTCACTTCAAATCCACAACTCAAGTCTGAAGAACCCTTATTCTCACTTCTGACAACATCCCACCCGTTACTCGCGACCACTATCGAAGGTGCCACGTCGGCTTACAATAACTCCAAAAACTTTTCCCCGAGATTCAAGTCCAGCGCCGAATATGTAGAGGGTTACTTGACACCCATTGCCAATACTGTAGGCACGGTTGGACGGAAGACAGGTGTTGAGGGTGGCGTACGCTGGTTTCTCGGCGCCGGTCGACGGCATCAGTCCAATGACATTGAAGCTGCCGACGGAGGGTCGCATAAGCGGCGCAAGGTTGATACGGGAGAAGACTTGGCTAGGCTCATGATTGAAGCACAGAGCAACATCATGCCTGACGTTGACTCTCCCCGTGATCCATATGTGTTCAAGCACGACCGCCGACTTTCACGAGCTAGCACAATCGATACCCTGCCGGCGTATGACGACTACCGGTCCCCGGCCTACAGTGAGAACGAAAAGGCCGAGCGACCCACATCATCAAATGCTGCTTGGCAATCTCGCCTAATCATGTCTACCTCGGGTCTCAGTGTTGCTATGAGCGATGAGAGCCTCAGGAGCTTGAAGTATTGTCTACGATGGCTGCGGTGGGCGAACGAGCACATTGGTGGGGTTATCAACAACCTCAAGACGACTCTTGAACAGTTCGAGAAGCCGGGTCAGCCCCAACAGGAAGAGCAGACGGCAGTCACTAACGATGGCGACCATGTCATGGCTGACAGCCATCCCGAGCCAATGTCTGAGCAGGAGCGCACAATCCTGGCCGCCAAGATCGCTTCACTCAAAGGTGACGTTCTGAAGACACTACAGAATGTAATCGTCACCGTCTCTAAATACGCTGGCGGGGCCCTCCCCGAAAATGCTCGTCTGTTGGTTCGCCGTCACCTGACGACTCTGCCACAGCGATTCCGTTATGCCAGCATGGTTGAACACCAACAGGGAGAGAAGGTCAGTGACCAGGAGGCGATGCGCGAAGGTGCTCATCGTGTACTTGTCCTAGCTAAAGAGGGTCTCGACATGATGTCGCAAGTCAGTGGAGTCCTTGATGGCACCATTGTCAGTGCCGAGGAGTGGTGTGAAAGACTTGGGAAGAAGAAGCGGGATCAACGCGAGGCTGTCCTACCGCAATCTCAACCTCAAGAGGGTGATGTCAAGGTTGCCCTTGTTTGAGTGAGCAACGATTTCCTACGACATTGGTCCAAGAACCACAAATGACAAGGCGGGCGGGGTACTCTTTCCTTTTATAATCTCTTCTCAAAACCACCAAGTGGATGATTGGAACGGCGCAGAAATGGACATGGAAAAAGAAAAAACAAGAGCAAAACGTGGACGAAAACGCGCTGCCGCAGCAGACGCAAGACTCACAACAATGATACCAAACAGAGGACACCCTCACCATTACCTACTACTACTTCTCTTCCAGTATACCATATCACATCCTACTACTACCAACTTTTTCTTATAGCTACAAACACACCCAACACGGACATCTTTTTTTTCTCATTTTTTGTTGATTATGCTATGATTCTTGTTCATTTGGCAGTTCATCTTTGTTGCCCAGTTCTCAATGTGTCATTTTCTGGTTCGCGGTATTAATAGGACGGTCTACGGAGTCCTGGGGCGTCTTCGTACTTGCATTTAGTTTCAAGCTTGGATTCGCTATGTACAGAGCTTGCGCAGTATTTGCACAAAGCAAATCCAACCTATGTGTCAAGAATATGAACATTTGTCAACACCTTTTACTGAGTTCTCGATGACATTTGTCATTCGACCAAGCCAGGTTCCCTCAAAGACTTCGCTGTGTATGTTCATGACTACGATAGCCTTCCTTTGATTGCGACGAGACATGGTCCCGAAGCCTGCCGGGACGCTGCGTGCCGTCAAACGTGGTCCCTCCTTACAGGTCAAACATCATCTGATGAATCCAGCGCGCGGCAGAGTCCAGGGGTTTCCGCGACCCCATACTCAGCAACGCAGTACCCCACGAAGGGATTAACATCCGAGGATTGCGAATACGGCGACGGGAAGCATTTTGAGACCGATGTCCTGGAGGTTTCTGCGAGGCGGAGATTAGTAGTCGAGCCTAGATGGTTGCACGGGATCCGGGGAAGAGCATTGATGCCCCAGACGGACCAGGCGATTGAAGGGCTATTCCGCGGCACCGTGCCTTTTCATTCTCTTTTCTGAGCTTCTGATAGGGCAAGGCACGCGGAGGTTTCCAGACATGCGTCCAATAGACCTTTTAAGCATTACGATCTCCTTGTCCTTTGTCCTGTCTGCCGCCAGATACGGAAGGCTCCTAAATCGTCTGATTATCCAGTCTCAACCTCGGAAGGAAGAAAGCTTCTTCAGAATCCGGGGCTCTAATCCCATTTGTTGACGTGCGGATATCGGATTCGGTAGGTCAGCTTTCGTCTACCCTAGGCGAAGTATATCAGAATCCAAACTATCAGACTCTTATGCATACGGCCAAGGGATCTCGACTTGATGGAGTAAGAAAAATGGAAACTATCACAAGAACCCTCATCAAAGTGGACAGACATCAAGGCTAGCCGCGTGGCATCGAAGAAGATTGATAGCGTGGTCGGCGAACGTATGCCGAGTGGGGGAAGCACGGTGACGGTGGTACTGTACAGTAAACGGAACGTGGGAATACTTGATATGGACTTCCTCCTCTGGAGTTACAAGGCCGCGTGAAATGGAGGTGAGTATTCTTTGAGATAAGCTTCCGTTGACCTAGGTAGCTGCACAAATCGCACATAAGACCTCGCCAACAGGCCGTTCCAGCCACAACTCATTGCTTATGGAAAGCAGAGCTCTTACCCACGAGTCCTTTCCACATGTGCTCTTTCAATGGTTACCTAGATTGTGGCCGCAAGATTAGAAATAGAGTTGCAATTACGGTTCGCCCTTAATGACCCGAAAAGACACAACATTGCTTCAACTGAATCATATTACTCTCTAGACATATCGAGAACACCACAGTCAGCTTAGGCTGCGAAAGAGCCCACAAAGGCGTTGAAGTTATACTTCTGACAAGCATCGCTAATCTCCTTGCTACTCGTGCCCCCAAGAATCGGAACCCCGTTCCGGGCTACTGAGAACTTCTGGGCCCCGATGCCCATGGTGAAGTTGGTGATCTGAATCCCTGCGCCGACGGGCACCGTGACCGGCGCCTGGCCGCCGCTGGTGACGGTGAGCGTGGCGGGCTGCGTAAGCATCGTGGCCACGAAGACCACGTCGGCGAGGTACTGGATCCCGTTGGGGGCGCCGAGGGTGTCGTTTGTGCATACCGTATTCTTGGGCGTTGGGCGGTACCAGTAGACCAGCTCGTCACTGACAACGGTGGGCTTGTCAGCTCCGGATTTGTAGGCTGCTATGTAGGGCTTCATTAAGGTGCGCCAGGCGTCGTGGGGGAAGCCGGTTGCCCAGGCGGAGGAGCCGTCGTCTGAGTGATTCGGCTGTGAGCCGCTTGAAGATGTCAGCTCCTAATGCTGTATATCGTTTGATTTATCATGGGTTCACTTACGAGATGTAGTGACTTTCACCAAAGTCTGTCAAGATATTTTAGTCATGTTTCAACGTCAAGATGTAATGAGACTCACCATTCCAACTGATGATCTCAATGAGTGCAGGCTTCATAGCAAGCATTTGCTCCCAGCGGATGGTGGGCTGCTCCTCCGTGATGAAGACCCAATTCTTGGTGTTGAAGTGAGTTGAGAACCAGGGCGAAACGGCTTTGCATTGTGTCAGTATACTGTTTGTACTTGGTAGAGAGAGCCTCCTTACGAGCCATGTACGGACGACTCCCCAAGTTTGCTAGATACCGGTCGTCCCAAATCGTCGTCATGGGACCGGGAATGATACTATTACCCCCATCCGTCGGCCACGCATACCACGAAAACGCGCCATCGAGGCCCGTATTTGCAACAGAAAGCCATGCAGGATCCTGAATCATAGGGAGAGCAGTAACCTTCTGTCCGGGCGGCATGCCATTCTTCACCGCGGTCCAGTTCATGTTGTCGCCGACAAAGGTGCTCACGATGGCGCCACTGTCGTACCGCGCCTGGGCCGGGTGCGCGCTGTAGTTGCCCACAATGGAGGTGATTTCCGCGGTGTCGGCCGTGGACCAGTACGCAAAGTCAAAGGAGATGAAGACGGTGAAGTTGAGGTCTTGAGCTGCTTGGTAGGCGTTTGCAAGTTGTTTGGGGGTGTAGTTGTCGATGCGGGCTGGGGCGCAGTTTAGGGCGAAACCGTCGATGCCAATTTCTTTGGCTTGCGTCATGTCGACGTGCCAATCTGATATGGTGTAGTTTTCGACGATACCGAGCTGCGCATTGAGTTAAAGAGAATTCTTAGCGGGCCCGTCAACTTAGTAGGTGATGTTCTCACCATGAAGTGCGCATAGACTGGCTTCGTCGTTTGACCCAATACCGGCAAAAGCATCCACACCAACAGAGAGAGGCATATCTGAGATACCGGTGCCATTCCGAAAGCCTTTCGAACCATGCTGAGTAAGTCAATGGAATCCAAGGGTCTTTGAGACTTGGACTTCCTTCAATCTGATCTCTACCAGGACTGCACGTCTAGATCAACGATATATAACCAACGTTTGTCGTTCTCCTGTCTGATCGAGTGACAAGACTCAAAATGTGATTGTACAGACTCACAACAAAACCCTCAACAACTTCATCAACCATCTTTGACTTTGAAACAACGTGACATGACGAATAAAGTGTGATGGTACAGCCTCTGAGTCCTACCACCTGCAGATGGGACGGAAGTCCGGGGCGGTCACGGCGCGAACTGCATCAATCACAAGTACGAAATGCAACCAGATTTTGAAGGGCCGAAAGTTTAACATCATCGGACACTGCGAGAATCGTCAGCGGCATTTCCATCATTGGGGGAATAATTGAATGAGATGAAGATCTTGTTGTTAGGTTGCCTTTAATGGAGTTGCGCGCCTGCCGCCTGACATTCTTACTTCCATGAAAGCTTCACCGTAACCACACGCTGTTTGAAAAATGACCCATGGAACGGGCTCTTGGGGAAAGGGGCCGAAGTCTGTCGATTGCTCTGCTCAATGGGAGCTGTGGAACTTCACGAGGTCAAAGGGGGTCAAAATCAACCTCACGATTGGGTACAACTATGATGTGCCAGTAATTGCGCATTGAATCTTCCCAAAAGAGAAGGTCCTCGTCCTCGACATCCATCATGCTCCAACAGATGCCATGAACTTATTTTCAGGACAGGGAATATTAGAAAAGATCGTAGAGCTTGTCGCGGGTTCTCTGCAATATTTTGAGCGGCCTGATCGTTGTCACAAGATTGCAGCAAAAGAGGGTTACATCTTAAGGGCACCATTCTACCAAAGGTCCAAACCACAAAATGATTTGTCGAGGAGTGGGCAGTCCTGACCGACTCACTGTTTGCATGTTATGTGCTTACGTTTTACTGCAAGTCAGTGACATTTTCTATGATGACCGGGCATAGTCTTGCAGATGATGACGGGATTTCGTCACAATTTTATGCTGTACGCGGTCCTAGATCTTGGCCAACTTTAATACTGTATAAGCATGAAAATTCTGGATCTCTTTCATATGATACTCTTTGTTTTCTCTTCTGTGATTCCAACCCGACGACGCGGAGAGTCGACGTCGGTTTAAGGAACCCCCGATTTTCTCCATTACAATCATCCCATCTTGGGAGTATTTGGCGTCGGAACAATACCACCTGCAGGGAGGTCAACTACCGCAGTAGGCCTTGATTCTAATGTTGATTGGAGGGTCGTTCATGTTTTGCGCTTGTGATTTGTGTCGACTACTCCGCACTGCCGGGTGTTGACACCAACCATGTGGCAAGCCGACGAGACATTCCGTCATGTGGTGCTTACTGACATCTGGCACGGTCTGGACACAAATTTCCACCTTTTCCCTATGCACCCCAGATAAATGACTCTAGCCAAGGAGACGCCAGTCGGGTTGGTGGGAGGGTTGTATTCGGAGACCAGCAGTCAGCGCGGGCCGAATGACATGGATCTCCAACTGCCCATTCAGCGGCCAAGGGAGGCAATAAGCATGACTTCAAAGATTCCAGGGACGGTGATCTAGGGCCCTGTGACATATGTGGTTGTCCATGATTTGTCGCTTGTGCGGAATGATGTATGAAAAGAGCAAACCCTTCTGTTTGTTCTGTCGAACTTCGTCGAACGGAGATTTATCCTCACTTCACCCCTTTTCTCCGAGAACAAGTACGTGATTAGAGACTACATGTGCCAGAGCAAGGCATGGCTGCAACGTGACATAAGATTCTTAATGTCACTGGTATTTTGCTGCAGTTGACCGCAGAAAGGCTTTGTGCCTGATCTTGCAAACTGCCGGCATCCCATGAGCTATTAACCGGAATAAGAGGGTTGCCGGTGTGAACATTGTGGCATCATCAGACTTACGGCAGACATACGATTCGGACCTTCTCTTATGAGTGAGGTAACAGATCTGCGAGGCATCTCGGGCACAAACTCGATATGCAAAGCTTCATGACATTGACCCTGGACTCATGCGGGATGCCAGTGCGGCCTGCCACGCTTGTCAGCGGACGGGAACGAGCAGGGGAAACGGGAGAACGGACGAAGAAAGAGCCAAAGCGAGAGACAGAGCGCTTCGGAAGGCGCCAAGTAATCCGGGCTTATAAAGGTATGTTCCTCGATTTCTTCATTTCTCTTCTGTGTAACTAGCAGGCTCGAATTGAATTGAGAACATCACAACGATCCAGGATGATTTCCACTCGTCTTTTCAAAGCCTTTCTGGCTACGGCCATGTTCACTTTGGCCACCTGCCTGACGGTTCCATCCACACATGGCGACACCCTCAGCCTTCGCCAAGATAGTGGTGAGAAGCTTGTCTTCTGTCACTTCATGGTGAGTTTGACTCAGTCCTTCCATCTCCGCAGTTCCTAGCTAACACTGCTGAAAGATTGGCATCGTCGGTGCACGTAGCTCTCCCAGCGAGTACGATGCTGATATGCAGAACGCCAAGGCGGCTGGCATCGACGCCTTTGCTCTCAATATCGGCGTTGACCCTTACACAGAGGCCCAGCTCGACTTGGCTTACCAGTCTGCGGCCAACAATGGCATGAAGGTCTTCATCTCATTCGACTTCAATTGGTACCAGACTAGTGAGGCAGCTCGCGTCGGCCAGATGATCGCCAAGTACGCCTCTCGTCCCGCTCAGCTCATCGTTGACGGCAAGGCGTTTGCATCTTCGTTTGCGGGAGACGGCTTGGATGTCAGTGCTATGCGCAGTGCTGCTGGTGTTCCCGTCTTCTGGGCACCCAATTTCCATCCGGAATTTGGCACAGACTTCAGCGTTATTGACGGTGCTCTCAACTGGCTCGGCTGGCCCAATAACGGACTCAACAAGGCTCCCGACGGTCGAGGCAACGTCTCGGTTCAACAGGGCGACGCGGCGTACACAACGGCACTCAAAGGCAAGCCGTACATTGCACCAGTATCACCGTGGTTCTTCACGCACTTTGGCCCCGAGGTTCCTTATTCCAAGAACTGGGTCTTTCCCTCAGATACCCTCTGGTACGATCGGTGGCAGCAGATTCTGTCGCTCAAGCCGCGCTTCCTTGAAATTGTGACTTGGAATGACTACGGTGAAAGCCATTACGTCGGACGTCTTGACAGCCCGCACGGTGATGATGGGAACTCCAAATGGGTCTACGGATTCCCCCACAACGGATGGCTCGACATGGCACAGCCGTTCATCAAGGCGTTCAAAGCCGGCGCTAGTGATCCCAAAACCTACATCACCGAGGAAAAGGTTGTCTACTGGTTCCGCCCGACTCTCCGGGGGATCAATTGTGACGCGACGGACACTACAATGAGCGATGCCAACAACTCTTCTGGCAACTACTTTAAGGGCAGGCCGGATGGATGGCAAACTATGGAGGACAAGATTTACATAGTGACGCTACTGAAAGAGGCCGCATCTCTGACTGTCAATGTTGCCGGCAACAGTCAGACTTTCCAAGCCCCTGCTGGTGCTGCCAAGTTCTCTGTTGACATGAAGCCGGGAACTGTCGCCTTCAATATGGCTCGCGGAGGATCTTCCATTTTCTCTGGTACTGCTGGCATGCAGATTCTGGACCACTGCCCTTGTGGTATCTACAACTTCAACCCTTACGTCGGAACTCTCAAAGCAGGAAGCGCGGACAATCTTCTCCCAGCAGCTTATTCTTCCATCTATGCTGGTTTGAAGGTCAGCACGTGCGGGCCGAATGGGATGAAGAGAACAGCGGCGCCACTTGCTGATATGGTAGCTCCCGCAATGGCCACACCCACGGTCTAAGGTGTCTTCATGTACTTACTTTGGGAGGCCATGGAATGAAGGCATATCGGATGGCATGGAGGTCAGATCGCCTTACGTATTTACTCATGCAGCACATAGCCAGGTATGAATTGCGCCACTGATTGCTTCCAGCTGAGTTTTGTTATATTGAATGTATGTAAATGACCGTGTAATAGTATGTAGAGAGATTCAAACAATGCGCAATCTGTAGTGACTGTGTAGTTTCCTTGCAGCTGCCCATTTCTCAATCACTTGTTGCCTCCCAATTTGCTTGCTAAATTTACTGTGCCTCTTTCTCAAGCACAGTGCATCTGAGGCGGAAAGGTCTCAATTTGATCAACCCTTCCATATCTTCAAGCTTTCTTTCAATCTCCTCATAGGTCTGTGACTGGTGAAAGGTATCGTTTGCCTCAAGGTTGGACCAGCCGACAAACGCTGTCAAAATGGACCCTGTCTGATTGGGGTCTCCTCCCTTCACGGGAAAATTATCCTGAACTCCCCAGCCATAGCTGGTGGCGGTCACCTCAGGCACTTGTCCGAAACCTTCCTTAATGATATCCTGCAGTCGTGTAGTCGCCGCGTTTTTCGCTTCAGGGGCGATGTCTGAAGGAAAGTAAATAATGAAGACATCAGTCACGACGGACTTCAGCGCATCTGGGAGGCTTGGCGTGGCGTTGATGTGCTTGCAAAATTCTCCGTATGTTAGAACTTTGTGCAAGTCTTTGCATAGCTCTGCACCATATCTGGTATTCATCAGAAATGACTGTCGGCAGAATTTGATTGTATTTAACTAATAACTTGACTTACTCTTTGGCAAACTTCTCGTGGTGCTCAATCGAGTCCCAGTCGAAGAAGCCCCAGGACATGGATGAATCTTCAAGTTCGACTGCCAGGTACAATCGATAGGGAGCGCCAGGTGCCACGATAATCTTACGATAGACGCTCATGTATGTCTGGCCCTCTGGTGTGGACTCATCCATGATGTTGAGGCCGGGCTTGACGCCCGTGGCACCAAGCTCGGTGACGATCATTGCGTAAGACCAGTGGACGAAGTGTATTTGGTGGATATGCGGAAGATGAGATGCGATTGAAGATATCGAGGGCATTGGGTTCAGGTCAACCACAGCAACTCGGCTCTTTTGAACTAGGAGCGCATAATGGATGCCTGAGCTCGACTCGTCACTGCTTACGCGGGGTGTAGGCAGCGATTGCTGTATCTCACTTAGACGTATTCATGTTTCAATCGATGCCTGAAGTTTTGCACACCTCATGTGAGTAAGCGCATATTCTCATGTGATTCTGGGTTTGCAAGATGACTACCAATTGAGGGGTGAATAGTCGTCTTGCGGCTTCTAAGCTTCACGGTGCAAGTTCTCGTCTTCGATCACATCGCGCGGTTGCGCTTCCTGTCAGCCTGTTCTCACGCACTTCATTCAGTATCTCATTGCTAAATGTGCTTCAGCGTTACGTAAACGTATCAGAGTCCCAACTCTGTGATGATGATCTCTGCAGCTTTTTCCCCCACCAGCAGTGCAGCGTTGTAAGTATTGGCAGCGACTTGCTGAGATGGCACGCTAAGATCCGCAACCTTCAACCCGGACACGCCGTAGACGTTCAGAAGGGGGTCGACTATGACATCTAATGTCAGCACAAGGTTCAGCCTCCAAGCTAAGCAGGGCTGTGCTACTTACCAACCCCTCGGTTCTCCCGGGGCGCCATCTTGCAGGTACCAAGAGGATGCCTTGACGTCCCAATGTTTTCACGTATGTACTGGATGATTGCAGCATCGTCCTCGATAGAGTACTCAATGGAATCAGTGACCGGTCCTTCAGCCACCTCAATGACAGCGGCGCTCGATGTGTTGGCGAACTTAGGGTGCCCTAGTGCGAGCTCGCCTCGAAAGATTTCCATCCGACGAGCGATGGCTCGTTGCGTCTTGTACCCCCAGATGTGGCTCTTCAGGTCGATATCGTTCTCGTCAAGTAGCCACCCAGTGGTGAAGTCGTACTGATCATCTATACTCGGCCCAGTAGCATGAATGTGGCCCCTCGCGTATGGGTATGTTACCCAGGGTGCTGTGGTAACGTACTCAGCATCATCAGGAAGAGTGGCAGGGTCGCCAAAGTAGGCATTGAAGAGTCCCATGATCATGAGAGGACGGTTGGGTGAGTCCTCGAAGTCCCTGTCCCAAGCAGCTTGGAATTCTGGCCCCAAAGCTGCAATATCAGCAGGAGACGGTCTGAACTTGCTAGAGGCATCGTGACCGTTCCATCCAAGTTGCTTGTCGTCGGCGGCAATCATCGCATCCACGTCTCGCCCTTTATCATTTCGGGCTATTCCGTTGATGGTCTCGTTCTGGTCGAGGTTTGTGCGGTAGACGTACCCAACAAAGTGATGATCTACACAAGATATTAGGAAGCCGTTGTAACGCCAGCAATCGCCCAAAGAGTGAGATCAGAGTTACCTTGGAAGTCATTGCCCACTCCATCAAGACTTTCGATAATCGGTAATCCCGCCTTTTCCAGCACTGCAGGGTCACCAACACCGGATCTTTCTAGAAGCAATGGAGTTCCAAAGGATCCTGCGGAAGCAACTACTAGCTTTCTGGCCTTGACTCTCGTCGTGCTGTTGTTTCCGGTATCCTTCGCGAATGCGGGATTGGGTCGGATTTCCACTCCAGCGGCGCGGTTCTCTTCTCCCTCAAACACAACACGGAGAACCTGGGTTTCTACTAGCACACTCAGGTAAGGATACTCGCCACTTTGCAGAAGTGGATGTAAGTAACGACGTGCGACATCTTGGCGACGGCCGTCGGTGGGCGAGACATATCGATACCAGGGCCCGGAGCCATTGTTGGAGTGCAGACTTTGAAGGTCTTCTACCTCTGACCAACCTGCCTCTACGGCCCCATCAATCCAGCCTCTTTCAGCTCGAGGCGCTTGGTGTGTTCCCTTTGATACATGAATTGGTCCATCATACCCGTGAGTGGATTGATTGTTAGTTGCGCCGTGATACGTTTCGATCTTGGATATTCATTAGCCATCATGAGTAGCTTAAAGCAACGAAAAAATGGAGGAGTAAAAACCTTTGCCAGAAGCGGCAGCAATTCTTCCGCAGACCACCCCGTCGTGTTCCAGGAGTTACAATCGTCCCACTGCCCACGGGTGTACACCATCCAGTTGATAGCTGATCCACCCCCAAGAATGCCGCCTGTTTCAACAACTGGCTCACGGTTCGCTAGCTGCGGTGACTTATTGGCCTTCCAGAACAGAGCAGTATCCGAATTGGGCAGGGTATTCCGCTCGAATAAGGCTGGGTAGATGACGTTTGTGACATTGAAGCTGTCTTTCCCCTGCTCGATAATGAGAATTGACAGGGAAGGGTCTGCTTCAGCGAGTCGTGAGGCGACGATGCTGCCCGCAGTGCCTCCTACGTTCGAAATGAGAATCTGCCCACTGGAGGATAATTAGAATAGACTCACCTCCAGCAATTATGACGTCGACTTCTGTGAGATCAGTTGGAAGTTCAGTATACAAACCTTCAGAACGAGTCGCCAACACTATTGCGGCTACAGAGGCCATCTCCAGGGCTTTCAGTCTCATGATTAAATGTAAACAACGGCTGAAGTAAGTGAATCAAGTATTAGCTACGTAAGTTGTTGTCAAAAGGAATGAAGAGTCAACGAAGTTTATCTAGCTGGACAGTAACTTAAAAATGAGAAAACAGTGCTGGGCTGCATGAAGGATATTCCGGTGTCGGCTGCTTATTACCAAATATGTTTTGGAAGGCAGATGATCTCCTCAAACACTTCCAAACGAATTCCAAAAACTTCCAGGTATGGAGTACGTCCAGCGCGGCCCAGGCGGAACGGCCCAGTAGTGTCGTATCGCAGAGGCGGGGGGTGCATCCGACGTTGTAGAAAAGGTTCCTAGCTTACTTGGCATGTTCTTCAGGTGCATAATACCAGGTTTACTGCTTGAAATCGTGAAAAGAGTTTACTAATGATAGACTAAGTCTAGGAATGTGAGTCGAATACCACCCGCAGTAATGTCGATCGCCGGTCAGCGTCGTAACATCCCCGCTATTCAGTCGAAGAACTAAAGGCTTGAGTCCGAGCTGACGAACAGTAGGCGAGCTTAGAACTTTGGTCTTTAGCTTCTATTGATTGCGCCATTTTGATTCAAGATAGAGAATAGCTCTTAGATAACCTATGCATAGAACCAACGGGGTGACAAGTGCAGACTGGGAAGAACCTCAAGAGGACATGCCACAGGCGCTTGTTAAAGTCGACCACAAGTCTTGATCGTTCCCTGGCTAAAAGCAGTGGTTTCTAATGAGAAAATTACCAAGGGGCGCCAAAGATAAGCAAAAATCCTAGTTCCTACCCAACTTGACTTAAAGAAACAAAAATTGAGAGGACGATTGGCGAGAGAAGCAAAAGAATTGACCAGCCTGGGGGTCGAACCCAGAATCTCCTGATAACATGCTAAGTCGGGAAACCGCTTAGTCGTAGTCAGACGCCTTGCCATTGGGCCAACCGGCCAGTTGTGGTTGGAGCAGGTCAAAAGTGTTTGTTGTAGCGCTCTGGCGCGCCACCTGCGCGAGGCCCACCGTCCACCAGGACCCTCGGAGCGCGCTCGATCGACCTGAAAGACAGACGTCTTGCATTTTCAAAGTTGACAGTATTTTACGGTCTTGTGAAGCTTTGCAAGAGGTTATTCAAGGTCATTATCATTCATTCCATTTCTAGCTCTAGCTGTCCGTGACATGTGTCCAAGTCTTAAGACACCAGTGTAACCATTTCATCGTAACCCGGAGTCATTAAAATCCAACTCTTTCCAAAACGAAACCAAACTTAAAGTCTCCAACGTGCACCTTCAAGTCCTCCCTGACATTGGGACCACAAGCGGCAGTACCAACACCAGCAACACGGGCATCGAGACGCAGAAGCGTCGCATCCTCCTCAACGAGATCGCACGGGTGCGCGGCCTTGTGCACCGTCTCGGAAGTGTAGCGACTGACCTGGAAGCTGAACTGGCGCCACTCCTCCTCGGACCAGACAGTAGCATCAGCCGGCGTTGCGCGAAGGCCGCGGCCGTGGTCCTCGGTGAGCTTGACGTAGCGGGTTTCCAGATGGTTGCCGCCTTCTTGGGGTACCTCGTAGTGCTGGTGCAACTCAGGCACGGTGGCGCTGAAGACGCCGAGGTGTTGACTGGACTTCTTATCCGGGTAGGACTCGCCGGGGCCGAGCGCGAGGTACTTGACGTTGTTGAGCGACTTGTGCAGACGCAGGTTCAGGCCCACGCGGGGGATGTGGGTGGGCTTGATGCCGCGGGGCTTCAGGTCAACGGCGACGGTGAGGCGACCAGTAGCATCAATGGTGTAAGTAGTGGTGGTCTCCCAGCCCCAGTCGAGGACGCGAGGAGAGAGGTAGGTAGTTGTGATGACCTCAACCTTGTCGGCCGACTCATTGATCTTGAATGACCGAAGGAAGCTGTCAAAAGCATCGACACCGAAACGAACCCAGTATGGGGCATCGTTGGGGTTGTCGTTGTCGGTAGGGGCGCGCCAGAAGTTGGGGATAACGGCCGCGCCAGTGGCTTCGTCCTTCTCGAGAAGAGGCACGCCAGCAGCAGTCCAAGATGTGATATATCCGCGGGCGGTATCAAAAGTGATGGCAAAGTCGGAGCCCGAGACGGTGGCCTTGGCGCGAGACTTTTGAACCTGCAGCTTCGAGGTGAGGGTGCTGTTGAGCAACTTGGGGGCTGCCGCAACACCGGACAGCTTGTGCTGGATCCAAGCGATCTCGTGCGAGGGCTCGGCCCAGTTGGTGGAGTCCTTGAGACTGAAGGTCACGGTGATGTAGACCTCCTTGTCGGACTTGATGTTTGCGAGGCTTGAGGGCAGGTCGACCTTGACGGTCTCGCCGGCGGCGATCTTGGGGATTTCGAGGTTTCCGGCAGCGACGAGAGCGGAGCTGTGTTACAAATTGTTAGTTATCTTTCTTCCCAAGATGAGTAGGGCTTCCTCCAGAATGACTTACTTTTCGCCGAGCTCCTCTACCTTATAGGTAGAGGAGAGGTGGTCAACACCAACAAAGTCGTACTTGTTCTTGATGACAAGCTGGTTGCCCTCAACTGACAGCTGAAGGGGCTGGTAGGCCTTCTTCAGCTCGATCAAACCGGGTGTGGGGTCGTGGGTGCTGTGAAGGAGACCATCCATGACAAAGGTGCCGTCGTGGGGCCGCTCGCCAAAGTCTCCTCCGTAGGCATAGTAGCCCTTACCATCGGCATCCTCCTTCCAGATACCGTGGTTCGCCCACTCCCAGATGTAGCCACCCTGAAGACGAGGGAACTTCTCAAAGACCTCAATGTAGTCATCGAGACCACCAGGGCCGTTGCCCATGGCGTGACCATACTCGCAGAGAACAACGGGCTTCTCGAAGCTGCCGTCCTCCTTGACACCCTCGGTCTCAACCAGCTTGGTCAGGCGGTCGATGGGGGGGTACATGTAAGAGTACATATCCGCAGTCTCGGCCTTGACATCACCCTCATAGTGGACCGGGCGACCGGAGTCGAAGTTCTTGGCGTACTCGTACATGGCTTTGTGGTTCTCGCCGTAGAAGGCTTCGTTACCAAGCGACCACATGATGATACTGGTATGGTTCTTGTCGCGCTGAACCAGCTGAACCATGCGGTCGAGGTAGGCCTCGCGCCACTCGGGGTTCTCGCTGGTGTACTTTCCGGCAAGGGGAAAGGTAATGGCCTTGCGCGCCTCGTAGTCGGACGCCTCGTCGACATCCTGAGGGCGTGCAACAGCATCGTAGAAGCCGTGGCACTCGAGATCGGCCTCGTCCATGACCCACAAGCCGAGTTCGTCCGCAAGCTGGAAGACTCGGGGGTCGGGCGGGTAGTGTGAGCATCGCAGAGAGTTGATGTTGTGGTTCTTCATGATGAGAAGGTCGCGCTTGGCGTACTCGATGGGAACGGCGCGGCCAAACTTGTTGTGGTGTTCGTGTCTGTTGACACCTCTGATGCGGATTGGGGTACCATTGACGGAGATCAGACCATTCTTGAGCTCAACTTTGCGGAAACCAATGTTTTGGTAGACGGCATGGGAGCCCAGGGTGATGTCAACCCGGTAGAGGTAAGGGGTCTCGGCAGTCCACTTCTTGGGGTTGGTGACGGGGATGCTGATGTCAACCTTGGTGTTGTCGCCAGTGACCTCTGCCTCCTTAGTCACAATGACGGCACCACCATTCTTGCCCAGCTCGCTGAGAGTGAGCTTGACGGTGCCCTTCTCGGCGGTCTTGACGTCGACCGTCGCCAGGAGGGTCGCGTCTTCGTACTTTTCGTCGAGATCAGTGCGGAGGAACCAGTCCTCGATTCTTGTTTGCTCGGGTACAGCGAGGAGAGTGACATCGCGGAAGATACCTAATCATTTGCTCGTTAGATGAATTGTCAAGCAGAGTAGCGACGAAGTGACCACTCACCCGAAAGCCACCATTGATCTTGGTCTTCGATGTAAGTTGCGTCGGACCACTGGTACACTCTCACAAACAGCTCATTGGGTCCATCCCTCTTGAGGATGCTTGTGACGTCAAACTCGGACGCGTTCCGCGAGCCCTGAGCGAAGCCAATGAGCGTGCCATTGACCCAGATGTGGTATCCGGAATCAACGCCATCGAATCTGAGGCGCAATTGCGACTTCTCATCCCACGTGGAAGGGACGTGGAAAGTACGTCTATACGTGCCCGTGGGGTTCTCGCTGGGCACGTATGGCGGGTTGACTGGGATAGGGAACTGTGTGTTGGTATACCACGGGAAGCCGTGTCCCTGAAGCTGCCAATGGCCAGGGACGTTGATGGTGCCCCATTCGTCCTCCTTATCTTCTGGCAAAGGCGCCTCCTCGGGAGTGCCGGCCATGTGGAAGTCCCAAACGCCATTGAGGAGGATAGACGTCTCTGGGATGAAGTATGCGCGCGGAGGAAGTGTATTGCGCCTGAAGACGGAGGGGTTCTCGTAGTCGTGAACTCCCTCCTTGGCCTGGAGAGACAAACTTTGAGAGGCCATCGTGGTGGTTTGGATGAGGGGTAACGATGGGCTGAGACACGGATTTGGGGTGGGAGAAGAGAGGAGAGAGAGAGAATGTGAAGAGAGAGAAACGAGAGGGTCCAATCGGTTTGCTGGCTACCAAGGTCCAGTCGTTATTTATTCATGCTCACTTTCTCCACGCGAAGTAACACGTCGGACGCAAGGCCGAGGGAAACGCCAGAAATAATCTGCAGACTGCGAGCACCCGTTCCCTCTCGTGAAGCTCACTCAAGTTTGTCCCGCCATATGACGAGGGAGCGTGGGGCAGAAAGACTGGAGCAGTTTCGGGGTAGCTCCGAGTCAGGTGGTGTCGGTGTAGTACGACCCCGAGGCCATCCTATCCTGGCGCTTCTTCAACTTCTTTTGCGAGAGAGACTCTTCACTCTTGTCCTACAAGAGCCCCGGCAACTCCTGGCAACTCCGCACCAAGAGGACGCAAGAGGGATAGTCTTCCCCAGCCCCGTGTGGTTCTGATTGGGTCCGGGGAAGTCGGGGCCGGCCCCGCACCTCCATCCGGATACAAGCCGGTCTAAGTTGATGCAACGTCTGACAACCCTGCCAGCCATTTCCACCCTTTCGTCTGCTCTCCCCATGGGCCCCATCTCTTGGATGGACGGAAAGTGGTTGTGACTCTGTTACCCCGGATTGACAGTGTCTAGACCCCGGCTAACGTTGACTGAAAACTGCAAGCGCGCCCGTGGTGTTGGCTCATGGCTGATGGTCCGTCGTGTCACCCCAGGTTCTTTCGTATTTTCTGCCTCCTGGGACCTTCGTTTGGATGGCATGATGGCCCGAATGCGGGGAGAAGATTTTGTCTTCTGATGGGCTGCAGAGAAGCCTGGGAGTCTGCAGTCAGAACATTTAAGACGGCCGTGTTATCGCCTCTCCATTCTTTCGTCTCCATCGATGATACCCTTCCAAGGCTTCCAAGACCTCCATCTCTCCACCGTTCCACTGTTCCTGAATTCTTGGTCCACCCCTCCCGAGCTGTATTGCTTGTCTGCAGTCCATCCTCCACCATGTCCGACGAGAAGACAGATCCCACGGTCGAGGGCCACGCCGAAGAGCGCCGTGACGATGCTGCTGCCGAGGTCGACACTGCCGTCCACATTGCTCATCAGACGCAGTCTGGCGCTTATTCGCCGTGGACGCCGCACATGTTCCGACTCTACGCCGTCCTCTTTATTGGTTCGTACCTTGGTGTTTCTTTTTAGTATTGGCCTACTAACAACAATGCCGACAGCTTACCTCAATGGAGCTCTCAACGGTTACGATGGTTCCCTTGTAAGTAAACCCCGGGTCTGAGCACCATCATCATCATCTAACGAAGTAACTTTAAAGATGGGAGGTTTGAACGGATTGAAGTCTTACTTGAACTACTTCCACAAGTAAGTAACCCAGGGAACAAAACTCACCAAGCATTTGATGCCAAGACTGACGCGAATCCGTCAGGGAAACTGTTGACGAAAGCACCGGAATCATCTTCGCCATGTACAACATCGGAAGTGTCGCCGCCGTCTTCTTCACCGGACCTGCAAACGATTTTCTGGGTCGCCGATGGGGCATGTTTATCGGGGCTGCCATTGTCATCATCGGCACTTGTGTTCAGGCCACAACCAAAACGTACGAATACCTCTTCAATTCTATGGTCGTATACCGGTTGCTAATGATTCTCAGCTCTGGCCAATTCCTTGCCGGACGATTCGTTCTCGGATTTGGTGTCAGTTTCTGCTGCGTTTCTGCTCCGACCTACGTAAGTTCGATGGATTGCAGTTTTCCTGGTGGTGCATATCAACTAACATGCCATCTGTCAAGGTCTCTGAGATGGCACACCCGGCATGGCGAGGAACCATTACTGGCATCTACAACTGCACTTGGTACATTGGTATGTCTAGCTTGGCCGCTTGCACATTCTATTACTCCAGGTCTAATTATTGCATACAGGCTCAATCATAGCTTCCTGGGTTATCTATGGATGCGCCTATATCGATGGCGGTGAGGGCACCAGTGCTTGGCGCCTGCCCATTTGGCTTCAGATGTGAGTCTCTTCAACGAATGAATATTCTTCGTGTGATGATTTTCCAGGCACTAACACATTTCTCTACAGGGTTACCTCTGGTATCGTTTGCGTTGGAGTCTTCTTCATCCCCGAATCCCCGCGATGGCTCATGGCGAACGACAAACACGAAGAAGCCGCGAGAGTCCTTGCCAAGTACCATGGCGAGGGTTCTATCGACCACCCTATTGTCCAGCTTCAGCTGAAGGAGATGGTCTCTCAAATCAGTACAGATGCATCGGATAAGTCCTGGTATGATTATAGTGAACTCTGGAGCACCCACTCCGCCCGTCGCCGTCTCATCTGCGTGTTGGGCATGGCCTTCTTTGGCCAGATCAGTGGTAACAGCTTGAGTTCTTACTACTTGGTAATTTCGCACTCCCTCCCTCTCTTTTCATCGCTTTGAAATGACTAACACTTTCTAGACCGTTGTACTGAAGAACGCCGGCATCACAGACGAGAAGCGTGTTTTGGCATTGAATGCGATCAACCCTATTCTCTGCTTCTTCGCATCTCTCGTCGGAGCTCGTATGACGGATGTTGTAGGCCGCCGACCTCTTTTGATTTACTCCATCATCTTCTGCTCATTCTGCTTCGCAATCATCACGGGAACTTCGAAATTGGCAACGGACGATGCGAGCAACGTTGCTGCTGCCAACACGACCATCGCCTTCATCTACATCTTCGGCATCGTCTTCAGCTTCGGCTGGACTCCTCTTCAGAGCATGTACATCGCCGAGACCCTCAGCACCTCCACCCGTGCCAAGGGTACTGCAGTCGGTAACTTTGCCAGTGCCGTCGGAAGCACCGTTATCCAGTACGCCAGTGGACCGGCTTTCCTCAACATCAAGTACTACTTCTACATTGTCTTCATCTTCTGGGATCTCTTTGAAGCAGTCATCATTGTAAGTTTTGCACTGGGCTTTCACTGGTTATGCCAGAACTTCGCTAACGTACCACTAGTACTTCTTCTGGCCCGAAACCAAGGATCGCACGCTGGAGGAGTTGGAGGAGGTCTTTAGCGCCCCGAACCCTGTCAAGAAGAGCTTGGAGCCTCGGTCTGCCGAGACTGTTCTGAAGACTATGCAGGTCGGCCAGGACGAGAAGGCGGCGTATGTCTAGTAGATATATGTACCGGGCCGGGATTGGGCGGCATTTGTGGGGCGATACCGGTCCGGAGGCCGGGTCTAGAGCTATGATTCACCTGCATTTGCCGTCTATCTTGCGGTTCAAAGACTTTAATCAAGATGCATTTGACAACGTTCTAATGATATGCAATACAAGCGTCTCCTTATGTGCAAAGTGTAACATCGAAATCGGTATCCATAGAGACAGCCGGCCCATCAATGTCTGTCGATGGTACTTCGTACAGAAAAAGCGTCCTCTGCTATGATTGGGGCGGCACCGTTCGTACTAAGAAAATGGGCTAACGCCCCCATGTTCTACCTATGAACACGGACACACCAGGCGAACCCAACCAACAGTCTTACTTAGCATTCGCACTGCGGCCGTGTCTGAAGGAATGATGGAAAAGCTTAATCACCTATTGTATCCCTGGCAAAGCGGCACTCAAGAGTCACCTGTCACTTCATCACATGTGCTTCTCTTCAACTCATAAGAGAGGAAGACCACGATGGGACATATGCCCGTCCTTGTTCCAAGCGATGGTGATATCCCCCGCTTGGGACCTTGTGGGTTCCCCTCACAGACGTGCCGGGGCTGCACGGAGCGAAATCACGGGAAGCCATAGAGATCCTAGACTGAGTCCAATTTGTACCCGGCATCCCACCATCCCATGATCCCACAAGCTTTCCCCCTTCCTAGCCAAGCCCCCCCGTTTACGTTTCTCCAAATTCTTCCTAATGAACTCACCCCCTTCTCCACATCTTCGCCCTTCCCCCGCACTACACGTGGGTGCATATATGCATGTCCTGCTGCCGGGATTCTTCCTTTGACCCCCTTGTGCCGTCCATTCTTTTTTTTTTCTCCAGTCCATTGCCCCCAAACTCTGCTCCGACTCGGTCCGCTTCGGATCGAGGATCCCCTTCACTGCGGAACCAGGCTTTCTTGCTGTTGCGGACGCTGTTGCTACGCCATGCCACCCAGCAGTTGCGATGGAGCCACTGGATAATGACACGATAAATGAGCCGTCGAGGAAGAGGTTGAGGACAAGTCATGCGGTATGTGAATTGCATTTTCTTAGAATCCTCCAAGCAAAACAGTATACCTCTTTCGCAAGGAACGTTTTGGGGTAGGACAAAGTGACCGTGTCTACTATTCCACTGTCACATTGAACCGCCGAAAGAGTTCTTCACGAACACTGCTACTGCCAAAACACTGCAAGCTTAACTGTTTTCGTTCCATCATCGCGAAGATCTTCTCTCATTTCAGAATGCCATCTCTCTGAGCTTAAACTCTTCTCTCCCCACATGTTCTGGCCGGCTACCCAGCCGAGAATCCGAAAAGCTCATCGCTGACAACGCATCGCATACTTCAGTGCGACACATGCCGCGCAAGGAAGATCAGGTACGTGGGACCAAGACAAGTCGGCCAAGCAACCCAGGCCCAGACCGAACCAGTCTCTCGGGACAGCATCAAGATTAACGAGACCTCGCTGCACAGATGCAATGGCAACACGCCATGCGCATCCTGCTCTGCGTCGCATCAGGAATGCACCTATGGGTCCGAAGCTAATTCGTAAGTTCAAGAGTCCGGCCCTCAAAAGAACCACACTCATCTCCTTACGCCTCCCGGAGCCGTGATCCCCGGCGCAAAACACCGACTTCCGCACGCTCGGGGAAGCGAGGAGAGAAAGAGGAAAACTTGCTTTCTTGCTGTGAGTCTAACTTCTGACCATCACGTCATTAGGCGCGGGAAGAGCGACCTCATCCTTGAGGGTGTACTCAGGGTGGAGAAGTTTCTTCATGAGATGAAGGCCACCATCGTCAGTCCCGTCTCCTCTACATTCCACTTTTCACCGAACCCATCTCACGATGGTGTGTTCAAGGGGACGGCGCCGTATGCCGATCACCGTCCATCCGTGGTCTCTCCGGCCCTCCGATCCGCCTCGCGGGGGTCCTTTTCCGGGTCGCCTCTGAACGAGATCCATCACCCACAACGGACCCCCATCTCGGAGCCGCAGTATCAGAACAACTTTGAGAATGCCGTGCTCGACTCGATGCACACGAGTACCACAGAATCTGTGCTACAATGGCCTCATTTTGACGCCTTTCCGAATATGAGGGATGGATATGTCCCCATCTTCCACCTCGAACAGTCACGGCCCGCGGTAAAGACGCGCGCGACCCCTGTGTACCCCTACGTAACCGCGGAAGACATTGACGAGATTATCGAATCGTTTGAGCATACCATCAACTTTTGGTATCCGACCATGTCTCGCGGCCAGCTTGAGCAGGTCCGCAACCTAATCGCCGATGGCATTCCCGAGGGAGACAGCATTCTTGTCTGTCTTGCGCTGCTCACAATGGCGCTTGGGTGTGTTGGCCTAGTGACTACGGGACTGGCGAGCACGTCTTCCTTGAGCGAGGAGGATCGTAAACGGAGGGCTTCCAAGAGGGCCATGGGTGACATGTACTTTGACAGTGTCTTGAAGAAGCTGCATGTGGTGCATACCAATGTTGGAAGCACTGCAACCCACTGCCTGTTCTTCACAGCGTGAGTACAGAACATCATGTTTCGCCGCTACAGAAAGGTGCTGACCTAAAACTAAGGATGTACTTTGCCTTCCTCCGTCGTCCGTTGCAGGCATGGGAATACATCAACGCAGCATCCGCAAAATGCCTCTTGCTTCTGTCTTACCCGCCAGAGTCCGAGTCCGCGGAAGACCAAGAACGAATCCGAAGGATCTTTTGGTCTTGCTACATCCTTGAGAGGTACGAGCCGTGACTCAGAACGTTGCCGTACCTGCAACTAACAAATCTCAAGTGACTATCTTGCGGAGCTCTCTGGGCTTCCACAATCGGGTGTCGCCCGCATCGAGTCAACAACGCCTCTCCCAGGAGAGTACAGCACACATAAAGACTCTCAAGTCGAGGAACAATCCTCCCTCTATTTCCTTGCCTGCATCTCCATGCGCCGCCTCCTCAACCGCGTCCATCAGCTCCTCTACGCACGCGGAACCGGCGCAGCCCTCGACCACGCCCGTTTCCCCTATGTCGTTGCGGAGCTGAACCACCAGCTCGACGACTGGCGGGAGGTGCTTCCTCCGGCGTTTGCATTCAGTGTCGGGTTCAATGAAGTAGGAAATAACCAAGGTACCGCGACGGAGCATGGCGGTTTCCTGCGGCAGAGGTATCTCACCTGCAGGAGTGTGATTTACAGACCGTACCTGATGTGGATGCTGAGTGGTATGGCTGGTGGGAATGGAGCTAGCTCTGAGCTGCTGGTCAACCAAGACGCGCTGAAGAACTGCAAAGCGTGTCTGGATGCCTGCCTGCTCCATATCCTCAATCTGAGGGGCTTTGGGCAGACAGTCATGGTCGACACCTGGATCTGCTCTCTCTCGTAAGTTTATCACTCGTGCCTGTTCCGCATTGAGATATCATGGCTAATGTGTGGGCTACAGGATGGCTGGTGCAATGCTTGTTCTGCTCGCCGCATGCCGTATCCCGGCTTTAAAAGACATGATTGGGCCGGAAGTGTTGGGGGCTGGCGACCACTTGAAGCAGCTACTACAAGGCTGGCAGAGCACTATGGGCGAGCCTACGTCTCCGAGCGTCAACCAGGCGATCCGTATCATCAGTGACGTGGACCGCTTCATTCAGGAGGTCTATCAGGCAGGAGATTCCTATTCCATGAGGCGGCATCCATAGCTCAAGTGAGGAGAGGTTGGTGGCAAAGCAAGTCGTGTCAAAGTAAATATTCATTGTCTTTTACATACAGAGTAGGGTATGGAAATTGGGCAGAATACAAAACTAAAGAAATCATGCAGGTATGCTCCATCATCGTCTGCCAAGCTTGGTATTGCGCTTTTCGATCCTGAAAAATGACCAACATTCCCCGACTCTGCAAATCATCTTTCCTGAGCTGTGCCAGCGAGTGACTCCATCCATGCAAATCGATCGATACTATCCCCATTGCTTCAGTCTTTCCTGGGTGCTGTGAACATGGGGCCTGCTCCTTGATCATCCGTCGCGCCCTCAAAGGTCAATCTTGACGGCAACAACACTGCCAGCCATGAAGCCAGTGACAAAGAGCCATGCCCTTCTCTCTCCCTTCTCTTGAGCCGGATCAATAGCGACCAAGACAGCCGCCGCTGCTGATCTGGCCCTCGTGCCATCATCCTCAAATACTACTCTCTTCTCATAGCCTCCGTTGCTGCCCGCAGCTGGCTTGGCATACCACACAATCGACCCAATGTCCGATGTAGTATTGTGAACTTGCTTCGGGATATCGACAGGCCGCGTAAGGCCAGGGAGAACGAAGCCGCTAGCGTCGAAGACGTCAGTCTTGTATGGGTCGTCAAAATAGCTGGGGTTATCGATATATGAGTCCACCTGGACGGACTCGATGATGTTGATGGTGGTGTTCTTCGGGTCTGAAGATAGCTCGCCGATGAGCATCTCACCGCCGGCGCAGTTGACAACTAGAATTTCTCCGGTCTGCCGACTGTGGCCTAGGCCGTTATTGTTGCGGATTCCCGAGAGAGCCACCTCGGCCTTGATGCCTTCTGTAGGAACCAAAGACGACATCTCCTCGATGTGAACGTAGATGGTGTCGGTCCAGGTTGTACCCGGCCATATATCCTCAACATGTCTTCCGACACCGTCGGCATAGTAATGATCGTTGGTCACATAGAATGAGTACGGGTCTTTGATGAAGATATCGTTGGGAGTCTTGACCAGCGGGTGAATAACGGTTCGCAGGTGCTTGGCGGTGGATGATCCGAGGATATGATGAAAGATTTCAACGCGCGATTGAGACTTTTGGGTGACTTGCTGAGCGTCCTGGCTTCCAATCTTGGTTGCAAGGTAGTCTGGATGTGGTACATGGTTGACGGCGAAGATGTAGACTGCATCGGCCCTCTTGGGGTCCGTGATGACATCGATGCCATGGGTAACATAGGTCGAGTCAAAGTTCTCAAACCTGAGTCGTTTTTGGGTCATATCCTAGTCCAGCAAGTAAGCCATATGTATAAGGCAGGGTTGACATCTAACGCTCATACCTTAGGATTGATGACGTGAATAGAGCCCTTTTGCTTGCTTCCCACCAGTGGATCTTTGAGGTTTCCGAGGCCGGGGAACCATTCAGCACGGTTCTCTTCATTGTCTTCACAAGCCGTGAAGAGGAGGCCACTTGGTTCGTGGTAATGGATATCTTCGCAATGAATTGTGTCGTCAATGTAGATCAAGTCTCCGGCTTGAGCCACGGGGGTGTTTAGCTTCTCGCGTCCGATTCCTGCAAGGGCGATTGACCTCTTGACTGTGGGAGCGTAGTTGAAGCCTCCGAAGATGGCGAGGCCGGCGACCAAAACGGGAACCAATGCCGCCATGTTGTTCGTTAACGACGATGTTGAAGGTAAGGCGAGTTGCTGAAAGAAGGGTAGTGTATGATGAGGTAATGATTTCTTCGGTTTCAAGGTATGCTATATAAGAAATGAAGAGTTGAGGCCGTATCCACAACTCTGCTCCGGCGGTTCAATGGTTGCCCGTCGCCGAAATCCGGGTTCACGGGTTTCAAGCAGTCAAGGACTCACGGTGAGGGGGAAAAGTCCGTGATGTGGACGGAGAGATGTGCTCGGGGACCAGGTAAGATCCGCTAAATAGCGTTCAAGGTTGCGGGAGTGGAGGTGTCTCGGAACTGAATACGTCACGCGTGCGGAGGAATCCCACCAAGCTTGAGGGTATTCTCCCGGCTATGCAGAACACAGTAAGCAGAAAGTCTGAGAAGCTAGCTACGGATAGGTAGATCGCTTCTCCAAAGTCCAAATTAACCTCGGCTTACCTTGTCAAGGCTGCCTTGTCTCCAATTACGAAACAAATGGAAGCCAAGGGAGTAAGATGATCAAAAGGAAGCCGCCCTTCCGTGCATTCGGTTCGAAGGTTGGAATGGTAAATCATGTCGTTTGTCTGCGGACCGTACCGTCGGCGGAGTTGTCGAAAGGGTCAAAAAGAGCGGGATTTCCGAAACCGAGAATCGAACTCGGGGCTATGCCTAACCTCTCACAGAGATGAGAGGGCATCATGTTGGCCACTACACCATATCGGATAGGCTTGATGGGTATGTTTCTTGGGAATGAGAAGAAGTCAGCGAGGATTGGGAGAGGCTGGACGATCTCGGTGGGTTCGGTGGGTTTGGTGGGTGACGGACGGCCCCTCGGCGAGATCTGCGAGCCATTTGCAGCATGAAGTGGGTTGAAGATGGAAAAAATCAGGGCACACTAATTTCACGAAATCCGTCTGCGTTGTCTTTGCTCCATCGGCGCCACTTTCTCCTTGACTGTGTGGTACTGAGTCAACGTAGGAATTGTAGTCTTATGGAAAGATGTTATGGGAGCAAAACTAACATCAGTGCAACATCAAGGTTTCGTCACCCATGTGGTTGTAAAGAATGCGATCAAAATCTCTGCCTACTCCCTATGCGCTAAGGATCAGAGTTCAAGAACCCCAACTTTGAGCGGCGCGGTGGCTAGCTCCCGCACAAAGACAAGACGAAAGACCTTGAGAGCAGTGATGAACCAGGTTCATGAGAAAAGAGTCAATTAAATGGGACTCTGCAGACTCTATCCGGACTCCGGAGGGATGGAGTGAGCACCGAGACTAGAAGGCCCACGGCTGATGCGATAGCTCACATGCCCCATTGGGGAACGGCCAAAGTCCTGGTTGGTCCAAGGTTTAGGGGAGCTGTGGCCAACAGTCTGTTCTGTGCGACAACTCTATCCGCCCTTGACCAACGGTGTCTGCCCAACAAGAGAAGAAATCTCCGAGGTGGAGCGCTCGCTGACCTTGTCGGGTTTTCGGTGAGTATCTTACCTTGACTGACAAGAGTTGGCATACTTCGACCTTGAGGCTGCAAGAAGAGACCATGATGAGGCTGTTCATGCCACAACCAAGTGTTCGTGTGCCTACGAGTCCCAAGTACCTTGTTATCGAAGAAATTCCTACGAGTCCATCTTTGAGAAACCTGGCGAGATCAAGGTAAAGGATTCCACAATGTCCATCGCGGGATGCCAAAGTACCTTAATAAATGTTTGCCGCTTGTGAATAAAAGTCAACTCCGGCATCATGAACCCTTGCGATGAGAACCATATACCGGAGCAAGCCATCAAGGAGCCTCAAGTGAAGAATTCGCACAAAACTCTGCATATTTAAATCTCGAGCGCCTTTCTTTGCCTCTGCTTGGTGAACCTCTTCTCTTTTAACAATCTTTAGGCCTCATTCAGAGTCTTCTTAACCTGACCTCGAGCATAATCACCTCAAGAGGAACCTCAAATTACAACAACCATGATAGCCCCTACCGCCATTCTTCTGGCCCTCCTAAGCCTCACACCCTCCGCCATCGCCGGAGGAGAGAAGCAAAGATGTAGCCCCCTCAACAAACACTACGAAAACTACGCCCAAAACATCGGTATGCGCTACAAGGAGGAGTGCATCCGCCTCGGGCTTCACGTCTCCAACACGGGCGCCTGCAGGGTCTCGTGCGATCATCTCCCCACCTACTACGAATGGGCCAACATCTATAATCTCGAAAAGACAGCGCGAAAGAAGGCGAGGTTGCAGGAGAGGGAGCGGGAGAAGCAACGGATGGCAGCCCTCGCGAAGAAGCTTGGCCTTCCTCCTCTGTATAATACTACTACTCCTGATCCGTCTATGGCTTCTGCTCTCCCCGTGGCGACGGAAACTGTCAAGATGGAAATCGAGCCAACTTCTCCCGAGGAGCCTGCGAAGATGCTCTCCCCCCGTGGGATCACAGCAGCGCCGACCCCTACCGCAGCAGCTCCGAAGATGGCAAACACGCCAATCAGGCCCTGCAAGCCCGAGGATATCTCAGCTCAGGATTCCTTATGCACCCTCGCACGCAAAATCCCCCGCTACGCCAAGATCCAAGCCGCGCTGTCGTCTTCACTGCAGGCAGCCGCGTCTACCCTCAACGCAAAAGCCTCAAGCTACCGCGTCCTGCTGAACGATGCCAAAGCTACCGCCGTGGATAAGACTGCTACCGTTACTGCGACAGTTGAGAAGCTAGTCACCAAATGCATTTCATCCTCGTCGTCAGCAAAGGCCTCAACTACAAAGACCGCTGATAGCGACACCACACCCACACCTACAGCCCGTTCAACCTCGGCCAAGAAGCAAACAAAGGCGACGAGGACTACTTCTTCCGTAAAGCCCACCAGGACCATATATGTAACCTCCGAGGGCTCATCTACCTCCATCATGTGGTCGATGCTCGTGGCGTGGATCGGTATTCAGGTCCTGTTCTTGACAGTCATGTAGTCACATTGAACATGGCTAGGGCAATGATAGGAGGTAGATCGTATGCGCTAGAGATGACTAGAAGGCGTTGAATATGCTGTGGCTTTGATGTCCGTTCTCTGTTAAGAGCGTTATGTCTCTATGATGAATAGCTTTGATAGTCTAATAGTAATCTATTCAGTAGTAATTCAACATCTGCTTCTCTCGCGTGTGCTTTGCGGCAGGCGTACTCGAAAAAAACATGCTTTTCATTCTTGGTTGTTGTCAACCGCCTATCTTTATATATGGAAATCTAACATGAATTCATTGAATCATGACTTCACCTCCTACACTTTGTTCTCCTCAAATCTGCAATCTTTCGCCACGAACGTAAATGCGCATCACCTACCCATAATCACCTGCTGCCTCCGCTAGAGTACCCGTAGCCCTTGTCCCGCATTTCCTTCTCGTTCGTCATGGTCCGGCTACCAAGGGTAGGCGAAGAGTCAAGCGCAACACCACCAATGGTATAGTAGTGGCCAAACACACGGCTCTCAAGGTCCTTGGTGCCGCCGTGAGCCTTGTGCGCCACGCGACGGAAGTAGACGCGCTTCGCCCACTTCCATGACTCCACGCCCATGAAGAAGAGGACCGCGCCGACGAAGACAATGCCCCACTCCCAGGTGATAGGTGCGTGTTTGAACACCTTGGTGTTGAGCACCGGAATGTAGGTGAGGGGGAAGATGGTGATAAAGCCGATGAGGATGGCGAAGAAGAGAAGCTTGTTGCGCCAAGTATCCCAGAACCACTGGGTGAAGTACTTTGTGCTCTTGGGTTGCATGCGGAAGAAAGAGCGGCGCATGTTGACCATCTCCCAGGCGAGGAAGAGGGCGAACCAGGTCAAACTCGCGAAGCAGGTTGCGCGGGCGCGGAAAACAGTATCGCACTCTTCCGAGTACGTGTTGTTGCAGTTGCTACCGAATTGGCCGTTGCCCCAGCCAAACATGACGAGCACGAAAGACGCAAGGCAGAGAGTAGCAGTCCAGACACCATAGACAAGCATGTCGAGCATCAGCTCCCAGGTGAAGACGCCGATTTTCATCTAGACTAGGTTAGTGTCTTGCGACAGGCATGAAAGGAAATGACCAAGAGAAACTTACGTCTTGGGGAGGTCGGTCCATGATATCCGGGGCAGCGACTTCGAACCCGAGAGCCATGTCAGGAAGACCGGAGGTAATCATGATGATCCACATGACCTCGACAGGCGCGAGGGGAAACACGGAAAGCCCACTGTCATCCTTGAAGACCAAGCCGATAAGAAGAGTCAGAGCCTGGGCGACGTTACAAGCCAACACGTGCAGGACGAATTTCTGGATGTTATCAAACATGCGACGGCCTTCCTCAACGGCATTGAGAATCGATGCGAAATTATCGTCGGTGAGGATGATGTCGGACGCCTCCTTGGCAACATCAGAGCCGCTCTCACCCATAGCGATACCGACGTCAGCTCGCTTCAGACTGGGAGAATCGTTCACACCATCGCCTGTCATGGCCACAAAGCGCTCACGTCGGTGAAGAGCCTCAATCATGCGAACTTTAGTCTGAGGGGCACAGCGTGCGACGACCAGCGGGAGGTTGGGCAGCTTATCAATCTCGTCGTCTGAAAGCTTGTCGAAGTCGTGGGCAGCCATGACCATCGTTTTCGCCACGCTCGCGGAAATCTCATTCATGCGCGTGGGTAGAATCCCGACCTCGAGGGCGATGGCACGAGCAGTTTCGGGATGGTCGCCGGTAAGCATATGAACGCTGACACCGGCCTCGTGGAATTTCTTGACCGAAGGACCGGATTCGGGACGGGGAGGGTCATAGAGACCGATGAGGCCACGGAAAGTAAGGTCCTTTTCGAAGTTGGCGCGATCAAGGTTATCATGGTTATCAACGGTACCGATATCAGACTTGCTCGCAAAGGCCAGAACACGGAGTCCAAGGCGGGCAAGAGCCTCCATGTTGGCCAGAATGTCCTGCTCAATGTCCTTGGTAAGCTCAACGACATCATCACCCATTTGGATCGTAGGGCAAGAAGAGATGACACGCTCGACGGCACCCTTGGTGAAGAGCCAGGTCTTGTTTC